CATGCTAGTGGAACCGTAGATAACTTCCGGTATGATAGGCCAATAGGCTCTAACATAGACACTTCTGCTTGAAGATATTTGACATTTACAGTAAGTATATGGCTTCGAGCAATGAACTCATTCCTTTGTAGTCAAGATACGTGCGCACATAGCTTATAACACAAATGGCTACAATTAGCCTAAAGTATAAAAGTCATTTCAGGGATACAATGGAAAAGYTCAAAAATACGGTAGCTATTACTTACCTGCGACAACAGCGGTGAAAACGCCAATGATGCAAATTCCCCCTCCAATGACAGTAAGCACGCCAACACTACTTAAATAGTTATTGATGTCTGATGCAAGCATTTTCTGTACCCTGTCTACCTGGCTCAGGTAGTCAGCGCATATCTTTAAGGCTTCTTCAAGATCCAATATATCCATTCCAAAGTCAATCTTTTCGGTTTGGGAGATTTTGTATCCTTTATTTCCGGCTTCTTGGACCTGTATGAAAGTGAATAACAGCATCCCGTTAAAACAGTGTTAGAGAAGCGTAATTTAATAATTCTCATATATATCTTGATGAAGGAGAACGTCTTAAATTCATTTTGAATTGGGACCGCGTCCGCTGTCCGCCAGGACGAGACTTGTGTCCCGATAAGTAAGCGAATTCGGGACGCGCAGTCACACCCGTGCTTTGAATACGGTTCTTCCTCACAGTTGCACGTGCGCCTTTTTTGATCGAGACGTTTGACTAGCGTAACGAAGACACAATCAGTACATTATCCATATCGTTTTGTCACGAATGCAATGATAGAACATCTTTAGATTCAAACAATTCATGGAAACGTGCAAAAAGATAACTCACGGTGTGTATAATTGGAAGATAAAATCGATAAGCTTTCTGTTCGTTCGAAGCCATTATCATTTATTCAGCGTTCGGATTGCAAATTACAAAGACGAACAAAAACTCCGACTAAAAACACACACCCTTTTGTTTATCTTTTGTATCAAACTCTCAATTATCCTGCTTCGCGCTTCGATCTTTTTCCAGTAGCCTTTGATATCCTTCAATTTAGGTTGCAATGATGCCGGAATGTTTGATTCCTCTTCCTTGATTTGACGGGACGTCATTGAAACGGCAACAGCACCATTACTCACGTACTCATAGTCGCTAAATAGAACCTTTTCGCAGACACCTTTTACAGCCATAACACCCAAACAACTTTGAGAAGGCTGTTCAGCAATGAGGGCGTCGATAGCTTCTAAATGTTGTTTAAAGCTGTTTAAGGTACTCAGGTGCTTGTTTACTTCTTCGGTTTGCTCACCAGCTTCTTCCCTAAACTTCCTTATAAAGTTTATGTAATGTTCCCATTGGACGTCCATGCTTGTTTGAATGGTCACGCCTGTAACAAAGACAATAAGAAAACACTTTAAACTGCGATGATTTTTTTTGGCGAAAAATGCTTTTAACTATTTATTTTTTTGAGCAAAAAAGATAGTTAAACTTTAAACTCCCTCCCTGGACACCTCTTTCAACCATTAAGAGGGAAACTTCACCACCAGAGTCTACCAAAAACCAGGTAAACTACAAGTACATTGGAAATCGGCCATCCCAGAAAGGTGGAAGCGCAACACTATTCTAGGTGCCTTATATCGAGCAAAACGAATAGCCACCAATTGGCAAGCAGAAGTCAAAGCCATCAAACAATCATTCATCA